ATCTAACGTCGATGTTCTGAAGAAAAGAAGTTATTAGAGCATACTTTTTAATGTACGTGGATTTTATATATTATAAAAAAAACTATACNGTACGTGGATTTTATATATTATGAAAAAAACTATACAATTATTGAAGTAATAATAACTTTTAACATATTTATATAATCAAATAAATTGTTTTTACATTTTTTTGTAACTAAAATTACTAATAATAATTTGTTCATAATTTATAGGCAATAAGTATTAGTTTATTTGTGAGATAAAGATGACTAATTTATATGCTTTAAATAAAGTAAATAATAAGTATGATGAATTTAGCTAACAATACTAATAGAATTGTGTTTTTCTTGTAGGTCCAGTGTAACTGTCCCAAATGTTCTTTAAATTATTTAAATTAAAAAATATTTTAAAAAATACAATCTACAGTTATATTAATCATTTTAATTACTATATATAACTATTTAAAAAAAATATATAGGACTGTTTAATTAAAACGGAATAATAACCAAACAGAGATTATTATGGCCGTATGAATAAGGCGACTAAAGTTATTTACGCACTATTGTAAAAATCGTATAAGGTTTTATTGGAAAACAAATGCATTGATATGTCGGCGGTAACGGTTAGACTGGAACTTATTTCTGTTATAGCCACACAGGTGGACAATAGCCACCCGATAAAGATAATCACAATAAATATTTCACATATAATATAAAATTTTATTGATCGAATAAGCTAAAATCTTCACAAGCTTAATCAATTCCAACGAACTTTTTTAATTTCGATATGACTAATAGTTTTCTCTTAAGTATGGTGTTAAGAACTTCGCCACACTATAAAACATTTGAGTAATAAAACTGTAATAGATAGAATAAAGATTACATCTGTTCATATTCTCATATGAAAAGATAATTTTAATGTTATAAACATTAAAAGTGGCCCAAATAAATATGAATGTTTTTTTTAAGATGTAATTTGTTTAAAAACATATTGTTTATATCAACCGATGTTATTGCTTTTGAATATACAATGTTATTGTTACTGTTTTTATACTATAGACGATTAGATATTTCTTAAAACTCTGTGTATTACAAAGCGATGCGGTATTATGTCATCACTAATTCGAATTAGACTTAAAATTTCAAATACATTTTATTCGTCATGTTTTTTTTAGATATTTCAATGAAAAAAAAAATTCATAGATTTAATTACGCACAACGTCGTAAAACAATATTATATTGTTCTTACAAAAAAGATACACATGCGATTTAAAACAAATACATCTGTTCAATTTAATTATTTTTGAAAAATTTGTCATTGGTTAATATATATTTTAGTACTTCCAAAAAAATATGCTAAAATTATTAAATTTTTTGAAATACAATGGGATCATTTTGCCCCAAGTGTGAACTTGCCTTACTCTCCTATATTGGGTTTTTCAAAGGGTAATTTTAAGATTATTTATGTCTATATAAAACTACATAAAAAATTGTAATATTTCTAATAAATTAGCTATAAATGGTTGCATTTCAATTTTTGTAACTAACGAGATGTTTTAACGAAGAAGTTTCTTATTACTTAGTAACTAGAATAAAAGTATAATGTACATTTTTAGGACTAGTGTAATTTTAATATGTTTTTTTTTTTTAAATCAGCTAAAAGTCTGCTAAAAGTCGAGTACTTAAATGGTGATGTTTTGTGGATTAATTGAAGTTTGAGTGATACAGTTACCTCATTAAAAGTGGGTTTTGGTGATAAATTTTAGAAAATATATTTAGAATTATAAAAAAGTAGATGGGCTCCCTAGCTATTTTAAATATTAATATTTAATATTTGAAAAACTATCCAACAAAATGTATTTTTAATTACGAAAGAAAAATTGTACAATGTTAACGTAAATAACTGTCATTTTAATGCATGATTAACAGAAAATTTGACTAAATAGAAATAGAGTAAACATCGACACAATATTTTTGAATATAATATTCTATATTTAAGAAAATAAAATTCATTATTTTTATTAACACTCACGCCCTTGTATGATTTATAATACTTCAAAAATATTTTCATTTACACAAATGTATGTATGTATATATATATATATATTTAAGTTTAAGTAGTTTAAATTATTTATGTTTAAGTATACATCTGTATATATTTCTCACTATAGTAATTTATTAATAAAATACACAAAGAAAATAATAAAATATTCTTTATCACGTGCGTTAAAATTATTAATATGAAATATAAAATCGATTAAGATGAAATTATAAATTTTTAGTTAGAAAAATGAAAAATTTGGAAAAATAATAATTAGAAAAAGATAAGAAAAAAATATTATGAGAAACATACTATATTTTTCACGTGAAACTTTTTTTTGACCAAGTTAGAAAAACTTGATTTTTTCTGCGTTTCTATATCATAAATAAATTTTGCTTAGTAATTGTACCGTGTTAGTTAAGGTTTGAATAATACAGCCTCTTCAAAAAGAGTTTTTGGTGAAACATTATAGAAAATAAATTTCAAATTATAATTATAGGCGGTCTACCTAGGTAATTCGGTAACGCGTGAAACTTCAGTGCGTAGGTACTGGGTTTTTTAATCCGTTGCGTTAAGCTATGTAGTTTTTCTCGTATTCTCTGGTACAAGCAATAGCTTTTAGAGAGTATGTTAAACATGATAAACAAAATAAAATTAATCAAATACATATATCTGAACATATTAAACGAATGAAATGCTACTTCAGGTAAAATATGTGTATTTAGTGTAATGAATGAATTATAAATCATTGGTATTCAGTGTAATTTTGTGCGTTTGATTAATGTAAATGATACATTTGGTACGACAAACTACTCGTTATTTACTTTGAAATCTTTACGCTTTTTGATATATTATATGAGAATTTTAAATAATTAGTCACTCTCCCAGGAACTTGTTGTAAACACATTAATAAAATAGCTTTTCAAATCTTTCTAAAACTTCATGATGTACAAATATTCTTTCTACAATCTTATATTATATCTTATATATATAGTATATTAATTTAAATTATATCTCAGAAAATTAATATACTGAAGAATGAAATATTAATTTTAATAACGCTGCTCATTTAACGTTGGATTAATAGACAATATTTGTTAAAAACTATTCTTACTGCTTCCTTTTTTCCTTTATGTACTAACTGCAGTGGCGTATTTATGGAGGGGCAAGTAGGAGAATTTTCTACTGCCTAATAATGCAATATTTTTGCTTAAGGATATTTTTCATTACATTAGATGAATATAAATAATCATTTGTAATGATTTTTTTATCAATCACATAAATGATCAATTGCAAATAATTTTTATCTACAACTTTATTATCTGATTTTCGATCGTGAGTATTAAAACTACTATGGTTTTATGCCACTGCAAAACTATATGATATTTGAACTCTATTAGTATCTACATTTATTATTTTAATAACTACTGTTACAAATTTTTTTATTTTAAAAATAAATACTACATAAAGCCGTATATATTATTTCAATTAATTGGCACATAGAAATAATTTGTTGTTGATTTCAAGTGTTGAATAAGTTACGGTCTCTTTTAGCACATTTTAATGTCGACTATGTGCATATAACACTTACAGCTATTAATATTAGAACAGCTGAATTGGACTGTTACACATTACGGTTGTGTTGTATACGATTTTATAGTCAAAATTGTTAAGGGTACCGCAATTATGTTTCTCGACAAAAACAATTATTAACACAGTCAAGTTTAAACAACTAATTTATAAACAGTCAAAGTTTTGCATTAAATAAACAATTTTAATCAATGAATATTCGTCAGACGGAAATTGAGTTTGATGAGTTGTTAAGAAATTGTTATAAAATATTTAGTTGCTATATAAATAATTTTTTTAGCTTCGATACAAAGCTGAGAAGAAATTAATTTTACTATGATGTTTTTTTTTTTTTGTGTCTGTAACCACTATTTCTCAGCTCTCACCAAACCGATTTCTTTCAATGATACGTCAAAATATCACAAATCATATCTAGTTGAAGACATTACCCTCAAAGATTGAAAAAATTTCCCTCGTTCCCCGTAAATGGGGAAACCTNAAAAAAAAAATTTGTCCCGACGACCTATCTTTTATACGCAAATGGCTGCCGTATTCAAAAATATGCTATTTTTGTATTCAAATTATGGGTTTTGTATTTTATTTTAATAGAAGTTGATGTTAATTTTGCAATTATCCATCAATTTTTTAAAATTAAACACTATCTACAGATTTGCATCGAAGCGTTTCTTATGATAGTGATTTTAATCACTGTCAGATTAAATCTATCTGGACCCAACTATGCAATGTCTCCATTCTGATAAATGTACTGTAAATAGTAACTATAAAAATTTTCTAATTAAAACTGCCATAACTTTTTCAAAAATGAACATATCAATATAATTTTTTTTTGTAGATGCTTGATGTCTTTACCTATCACTTGGTATATTTTTTTTAGAAATTTAACCCTTTACCATCCCACAGGGGGATAGTTTTCCGGCTGAAAACTATCTATTTTTTATAAAGCCTGCGCAACATCNGAAAACTATCTATTTATATAAAGCCTGCGCAACACCACCCCTACCTACTTACATTTAATTTTTAGTATAATTCACACTAGTTGTTAAAAAGATTTACTCAATTGAGCTTTTTATAAAATTTGATTATAATTGTAAAAATCCTTTGTTAATTTAGGAGAAACTAACAATCATTATTTTTAGAAATGATTTATATAGCAACATGTTACCAAAAAATTTGGAATATTATAGTTTAGTAGTAGCAAATACAAATAGAGTAAAAAAATTATTAAATTACAAAGAAAAATTATTTAATTTTGTAGTTGAAACCAATCATATCAAACTTGATTCATCAATAAATACTTTAAAATCATTAGAAATGAATTTTTTTGAAAAATTATTTTTTAAATCAAATATAGTATAAGAAAATTCATAATAAAATATATTAATATTCTTTTTATCTAGTGTGAATTTTTTTTTCAAATTATAATCATAAGAGAATTAATTTTATATAAATACGTGGTATAATGAATATTTCATTACTATTGATGTTAATTATGAACATACAAGTAAGCTTCAGTGGTTTCATACAATATTTAACGTGCTCCTATAATCGTTATTTTTTAAACTTCTTTCACCATAATGAAAGATTTTTGTCAGAATTAGAAAAAAATAAATATAATATAACAATAGAGAATGTTATGAACTATGGCAGGGCACTCCAAACACACAGTAAAGTAATTATGATATTTTTAGATGACTTAATAAACAATAATATAAATTATTTTCCTTATACTTTGAATATGATAAATATGTATTTAAATAACGTTTCTGGCTCTTTAAATATGATTGCTCTAAACGAAGATGATGAAAAAAATGTAGCTGAAAAATTATTAGAGGGATATAAGATTATACATCTTGTAGTTAAAGATCAATTAAGTATTTACATAAATAGCTATTGTAATGACATACTCTTTTATGATAATTTGGTTAGTTTCACTCTACCAATAGGTAAAAACGAATATACTACTACTAATCTAGTAAATATAAATAATAATCTCAAGGATGAAATTATGTTGAAGTTTAATTCAACAGTGAACAGCACTTTATACGAAAATTTACATCCAAAACATTTTTTGTTTTACGATATAATGACCCAACAGATTCTCAGCAACAAAAATAATACTATAAAAATAGATAATAGTCAACACATTGTATTAAATTTACTACGATTCACTCCACTTAATATTAAATGTTCTGACGATACTCATATAACTATACAAGATGTATTTCAGTATATAAAATATGATTTCTATTCTAAGGATGTTTTATCATACATAAATCTGATAATTTCGGCTACGTTTCGACCTATTCTCATTCGCAACTTTTTAACCTTAATTCAAGTTGCATGTTTAAAAAATTCAGGTAGTGTAATTTACTGGTTAAAATCGACATTAATTAAAATGGGTCATAAAATAATAGGTTATATACAACAATTTATTTTTCTCCACTTGTTCAATTATAGGCATTCAATTATTAAAAAGGTCATTAATCGTTTTAAGAAAGTCTTAGATGAATATACTTCAAGACATTTTTTTTGTGAATCAGATCATACATTGAATAAATCAATAATAAAAAAAATGTCGCAATTTTTCATCAAAAAGCAAATATACTTTACAATGGAAATCAATTTAACCAATAAAATTTTAACTGAAAATAATGCTGATGAAATTAAAAATCAATTAGAAGAAATCATGCAAAAAGTTGAAATCTATTTGTCCGACTTGAAAAAATCGAAAGACCATTTGGAAATTATTGCTAGAAGATTTAAGGTTCGATCATTCAAAGTTTCAAACTATAATCCTTTTATTGATTCTAAAGTTTTAGGTAAGTGAAAATATAGTAAATTTTCAATAATTTATATTATCTATGTACACAATAAACTGCTACATGGTGTAAAATAAAATAATCCAACAAGTATACCATTGAATGATTTTAGATTGTTATATATTAATTTTAATAAAATTGAACTTAACTTTTAAATATTGGACAAAAAACTATTTATTTTAGAAATGGCTTCTTCAAAACACTTTTTTTTAAAAATATCTACTTAAATAATAGATGTATAAAGTTTGTTTTTATACTTAATTACATAACAATATGATTATTACTAAAATAAAACATGTTTTAATGTTTCCTACTAATTAAAAACACATAAATTAACTTGAAAAATATTTATTTTTTATGGTCTTATTGATTTAATAATAATAATTAAAAAATATTAATCTTTGAAACATTATTTTAACTGTTCTTGCAAGTTTAGAATTGAATCTGAAATAGAAAAGTTTATAGGATTAAAAAATTGTATTTTTGACATTGATGTATGATTGGGATTTATTTAATTACTATTAACAGTAAATTTACAAAAAAGCTCATCATTTCGTTAAAATCACCATTTTTTTGTATTAGTGTAGAAAAATGTAAATTCAATACAAATTATAGTAATTATTTCTATGTAACTATTGTTGTTTAAATTGATGTTATAATTGAAATATTTTAATAGTAATTGTTGAGTAGAAAAACACCTTTAGCAAAGACCTAGTGGAAAAACACGGTTGATTATATTATATCATGTGACACTTGATTTCTAGCGTCTTTACTTTACCTATATAATAATCTTAAAAAAAATATGATAGAAAAAATCTATTTTCAGTTTGAACTCGGTGTAAAAATGATCTTAAAAAATGTTATTTTAGTCTTCAGTGAAAATTCCTACTTGACTATTGAAATTTATTCATAAATAGGGCTCGGAACTTAAAGCAATTGCCTATATTTTTGGAATAACATAATTAGTAGCAAAGTTTATGGCATGTTACAACGATATCCTACGTACAATTTGAATGTGCTTTTAGCTTCGATGCGAAGCTGAGAAGGTATTAATTTTACCATGATGTGTTTATTTTTTTTTTTTTGTGTCTGTCACCACTTTTTCTCAGCTCTCACTGGACCGATTACTTTTAACAATACGTCAAAACATCACAAATTGTATCTAGTTGAAGACATTAGCCTTAAAAATTTTAAAATTTTCCCTCGTTCCCCGCAAATGGGGAAATATCCAAAAAAATTACAAATTTAAATAATAGATAGTAAAGATAAATCTTTACCTATCATTTGATATATTTTTTTTGTAAATCTGACCCTCTATCTGCCCACAGGGGGGAATTTAAAATGACAACTTTTTCACAAAAAATTAACTTTTTCAACTTAACTTTTGAAAATGTTCCGGAAGGTCTGACACTTTTATATATATCTTAAATTAAAGCTAATGTAATATACTTTAGTTTGAAAAAAATAAATTTGACCTCTGGACTTGTCTTCATGGTGAAAATGGCTACCAAATGCTATTTTTGTGTAAAAATTCTCGATTTTATAATTTACATTTGTAATGTTGCAGAATTTAATTAGTTTTTAATATATTAATCTTATCAATTAGATGTGTGTGCAGTAGGTGTAAAGTATTTTAATAATTTTGTATATGATAACCTCCACTTGTCAACCGGTCCGATATCTGTCATCATCAGCTGACCATACACAATGCACCTATACCCATATTGTTGTATTTTCCCCCAATGGACTTGTCAAAGTTGGTACCACCACCACCCGGCGACACGATCACCGGCCACTACACAAATGCCGCTACAACAGATTTTTTTTTTCCACCTATACTGCCGAGGCGACAAGTTGTCCGTTTGTATTTTTTGTGAAAACCACGTTATTGTATTTTTTTTTGTCCTCCGTTTTTTTTTATCAAAATTAAACGTCGAATGGATCTGCTGTCCACCAAGTGATGTCGTTGTGTTTTTGTCCTCCGTTTTTTTTAAATAAAACGTCGAGTTGATCTGCAGTCGACTTGTGGTGTCAACCAGACTGTATTTTTTTTGTCCTCCGTTTTTTTATTTAAACAAAACGTCGAGATGGTGATGATGATGATGATTATGGCGTAGGCACAACTATGGCCGGTGGTGGGCCGTCACTCCTCAAATCAACAATCAACAACAAGTACAACATCAAGAAACCCCATTTTTACCCCTTTTAAATTTTATGTATCATGCACCTCTTTTTTTTTTCTTCTCCTTTTCATAGTCATTTCCTATGAATATATTTATATCTTAAATAGTAATTATACATTATTATACACTTATTTATTAGAAGTTGCCTAAAAAATATTGATAGCGCTGGTTCAAGGGGTCTCATAACTCTCATAAATACATTCCTGTTATACACAAAAATTATTAATAATCTAATTATATTAATTGTGTTTATATTATAGAATCGTTCAAAAAAATTGAGCAGGTTATTATACATGGCACATTGTAAAAAATTTAAGTTTGATAAAAATATTGGTAACTGCGATTTAACGTTCGACAGCATAGTTATCATAGATGAATCCAAATTCAAACGATAAACTCATAGTCTTATACATAATATATGAGAAAAAAAGATTATTAATAATGTACTGTTTTTTTCCGACCTTCGCCAATAATTTTCCCGGGATCTGGTGACCGAGTACTTTCGTTGAAAAAAAAAATTTTGAAAATCCGAGCACGGCAAGTAATTTTTCCAGAAAAGCGTTTTTTTTCTTGTTCTATTATATAATAAAATTTGCGAAAGAACAAACTAAAAATATTTTCATCACATACGTATTTTTTTTTTTTTTGTTATCTATTATTGTTATTCTGTTGTTCATACTGTTCCAATATGAAATTACCAGTGAAATTATCTAAAAATATTTAATAATTAATTTTTGACTAATGAATGGTTTCAAAAAAAAAAAATAATCTCCATTGAAATAATGACAAAATAATAAATCAACTGTTTTTATAAAAGTTTAGATTGTATTGTTAAAAATTATCACTGTTGTGCGGGCCCACGTGGTAAAAGGAATTAAACTTAATAATAAAAAGAAAACACTCACTTTTCAATAAAACTTTAGAATATATAATTTGATTGACACAATTAATAATACAATACACGTTATTTATTAATATTAATACAAATGAATAGAATAATAAAATATAATGACATAGAATGATATAGAATGATTTAGGATGATATAGAATGAGTGTAACTAGCGCATACTAAACCACGACTGACTGTAGGGTACCTACAGTGGGAGTCCTTTTCCCATGGTTGCCCTAAAACCCTTGATCAGCACATTCCTGTGTTCGACGACAGTCGGACGACCATTTATTATATACTCTATCAATTATAAAATAATATTCAGGGGTTCTTAACATCACNTAATATCCAGGGGTTCTTAACATCACGTTGAAATGAATATTGCAAACCATATAATACTTATTTAATATATCACTAGTAACAAATCATTTCTGTTGCAATTTTTTTAGAATTCTTTATAACTATAGAATAATTTTAAGATACAAATATTATTTTTATTAATTTATAATAATAAAAACTAACCGTGGGAAATCCTTTGGTATTTTAAACATTTTACAATTTTAATTTTCGGTAGCATTTCTCGAGTTATTGCAGAATTTTACATTACAAACATAAACCATTTTATTAAATATTGTATAAAAGATGATGGAAAATTAATAAAATGATTAAAAGTAAAATTCATATAATATACATTTTTACACAATCAGTATTACTTCTTATTGTTACAACAAAAATGATAATTTCAAAGACTTCAATAAATTGGCTGCTACTTTTTGTTTACATATCGAAGTGTCCTTTGCCTGACTGTATCATAGCTGTATTATAGAAAATCAAATTTCATTAATTTTTGTTATTTAGGCGTTATCAATAAATAAAATATTTTATTTATAGTAAGAGACCATCTGTTGCCGCCTGAGCTGTTCTAAAAGCAAAGATCCCAGATATGCATGGGCATTAGAACTTTGCCGTACGGCTGATTTCTAATTATAATTTAATTAATAAGTGTCGTTTTGGCACAATTAGGACAATGGTTAGCTATATAACACAATAAATTACTGATTTAAATAACAACTGTCATCTGTGTAACTGAAAGTAATAAATGAACATATATAACTATAGGAAATTTTACCAGAAAGTAAAACTAAACTTCGACATGAATTGTTTATATTTCATAAAATTAACATAATTAATACATCACCGTCTTGATCATAATGCACAATAATAATACTGAATTGATAATAACTCTACTGTAGTTTTACAAATGCAATACTGACTAATATTCAAGTGAATTTTTACAAATACAATGAATAGTAAAATTAAAAAAATTAACAATTATTTTTTATATACTTAATCGCAAAACAAAAACAAAACAAATTTTATTGANACAATTATTTTTTATATACTTAATCGCAAAACAAAAACAAAACAAATTTTATTGAACACCATCGAAAAAATTGACTATTTTTACTACTACAGAAAAACATTACATTTTTAATAAAAAACCCGACCGAACAACACGGTACTAAAACTGATAAGGCGTCTTAACAGGTGATAGCGCACAAGCACTACCACCTGATTACACCCAATCAGTGCAGCTCGCACACTCGGCGCGAACACCATCGTTATTTGATAACGTTGTATTAACTAGTGATTAATTGATCTTGGTCGTGTGTTTAAAATAAAATGGGAAAAAAAAAGGTATTAGCTAGTGTACTTTTAAAAAGTATTATGGTCTATCATTTAGTCTTTTCATTTAAGATGATAATTATCACATTATTTATAAATTATATTCATATTATTAGAATAATATGATTCTTAAATTTAATTCTTATTAAATTTAACTATTGAATTTTGTTATTAACTGATTTTCAAATCTAATATTATTAAAGATAAATTTATATCATTTGATAATTTTATTTAAAAAGCTCTATCATTTTTATGACCAAAGCCAATTAGATAAATTTTTGCACTTTTTATTTTATTTTAGATCGCATTTGTAATACTCAATCACATTTTGAAATATACAGTTTTATTACGAATGATAGTAATAAAAAAGATATAGAATATTATAAAGATAAGGAAGATGTGGATGAAGATTATTCATACTATTGGAAGAAAATAACAACCTTTAACTTAGAGGATGTAAAAGATGACTATGATGAAAATAATGAAAATGATATTGATACAAACGACTCCATTGAAATTCAGTCAACTTATAAACCTCTTTATATGATTGATTATTGTCCATACGGCATGTAAAGTAAAATTTATAAATAGTTTTTATAATGGATTCTCTGTATCATCATTACTTATTTAGAAATATTTTATTTTTTTCCTTTCCATACGATATCTTTTAATGTTAAAAAAAAATTTTGTTTGTAAAATAGAAAAATTAACAAGCAAAACAAAATTCTGTCTCAGTAACAAAACTATATTTATCAATTAATAAATTATCAACTCAATTTCTTTTCAGTGTATGGCATTAATTTAATATACTACATTCTCGTATTCAAACTTCTAATAAATTTCAATTAAAGTGTTAAGAGAGATGTTATAAATTGTTTTTGTAATGAATACTGTAAAGAAGATGCTTGATTTTTAATTAAAGTTTTTTTCTTTAATTCAATGTTTTTTTTTTTGCAATCGTAAAGTTTTTTTAATGAATATCCCTTATACCTTATGTTAAAATGAAACTCCCGGTAATATTGTGCGAGTTAGTTACTTTCGGTTTCGTGACATATGATTATGCCGGAGAAAGAAATTGGGAGTGGACTGTGGGATTAAGGATAGTCCTTAAACTAGAAGAAATGATAAGAACTAGAAAACAAGGGTTATATATTAAAATAATAATAAATATAAAATATCATAGAGTTGTGGATGGAGGGTCACTTAATACTAAAATGGCCGACAAGGCAGCTATGAACAAAATAGATAAATATAATTATTACAAACAATTGACGCGCCCGGGGTATTACCATCGGACTGATTTGGATATCACCCGGATCAGGATGCTAATACACCGACCGTGCTGTGCTTCCCTAAATTGCACATTAAAACAACCCGAGATGCCTTATCGCTTATCGGCGACTGTCGGCGTTGACTTAAATACGAATCAAGTTCGGCGGCCGCTGATCAGTCGGTGATTAGCAGTATTATTGTATACTTACACCTGTATAATAAGTGCGTAATATATATACATATTATTTAAAAAATGAATTGTAGTTATTTTCATTATTAATATTAATTAACATTGATATTAATTTAATTTAATTTTAAATCGTTGTCGTAACGTTAACCGCTACCACGACAACTGGCGCAATCGACAAGATAAATTTTTTTTTTTTTAGATTGTAAAAATAAAAAAATGTGAGTATTACGTCGGAAGAATGACATGATTGAGCATTTATTAATATTGAGAGAGAGGCCAAAGGATTTGCTCCAGTTAGTAAACCGCAGTAGATCATCTTGTAGTAAGTGGCAGTCAGATAAGGAATTGATACGGAGGAAAAGTTTCATGTCGTCAGCAAATATAAGTAATTTAGAATAATGGAGGGCAGATAGTGCGGAATTAATGAAAAGAGCAAACAGAAGAGGAGAAAAAATTGCACCTTGGGGTACTCCAGAAGATGTAAGACATTAAGAAAATAAATAAGTTTGGAGCTGAATAATACCTTAATGTACTACCAGAGAACTAGTTAGATCATCTTTAACTTATTTATTACCGCAAAAGTATTAAAAACCGATTTCATTAAACCGAAACTACGGAAATAAATAAGTTGGCTAATATTCTTTGAGCGTAAAAATAATAAATAGTATCAAACTACACATTGATTTTTTCTTTCTTTTCTCTTTTTATTATTAAACAAATTATACAAAAAAGTAGTTTGGCAATTAGTTTAATAAATTATTACTTCGAAAATAGTATAATTTTTTTTTTAACCGAATTATATTAATTAGGTCGCTAACGCGGAAATAAATAAGTTTGGGATATTAGGAAAAATTTTTTTTTTTCTTTTTTTCGTTAATACTAGTCTAACCATTAAAGTTTATTTATATTAAAATGATTAAACAATTAATGGAACAAACAATCGATGAAATAAATAAAGAACTACGGAAACGTAACATAAATTCGCAGAGAACTAAAGCTGACAAAATAATAGCGTTGGAAAGTTACCTTAGAGAAATGGAAAACGTAAACCCGAAAAATTATAAATTTAAAATCGAAAACATGGATACGGAAACCGAGAAAACTGTTAACAATACTATTTTTGACGATGTTACTAAAAATCAATCGGGCCGCGGCGAAAGTATAAACCAAATAAAATTTTTAGACAACACAAAAATTGTCGTATGGAAATCTTGGAAAGTAAATTCGACACGTTATCTAACTGCATTAACATAGTAGATATTGACATTGATATTATTCAATCCGCTTGACAGAGAGAGACATGACCAACTTGACGTTATGATGGCAGTAGCCAAACAGGACTTTAGTGACCATTTAACGCTGGAAGAGGTAAGGGAGTGGCAACGCGAGGACTCAGGTATCCAATACCTGATTAAGAGCATTAGGGAGGATCCAACGAAAGCAGCCACTGAATGCCGAGTATGCGCTTGTACCAAGCCTTTAAATCGGAAACCCGAAGACAGAAGACCACCAGAGCACCCCATCAGCTGTGGGAAGTCCTGAACATAGATCTAATCATTAGATTCTAATGGGACCATACCCTCGCTCAGCTCGTGGAAAGACATTTCTTTTGGTTGTAACGGCTTTCCTTATTGGATCGGCTACAACCCTAGTCATTATTGATACTCTCGAAAGGGAGGTGTTTCCCCAAGTTCAATTATCGGACAATGGGCCGCAGTTTACAGCTAAGGAACTAACACGCGCACTAGACGACTGGGGGACAGATGGGTGGACCACTTCGGTATACCACCCTCGAGCGAATCCGGTAGAGCGACGTAATGAGGAGCTAAAAATAGGTCTTAGAATTCAGCTACGCGATAAATCACATCGTTTCTGGGACACTTGTTTACCAGCATTACTTTATGCACTACACAATTTAAGGAATTCGGAAACCAGCTTTACCCCATCCGAATTAATGTTTGACATGGAAGGTAAGGGACCGGGTGATTGGTTGCTACTTGGAAATAGAACCGAGGTAGCCATCGATAGTGAGCAAAAACAGCGAGTAAATAAAATAATGAACTCAAATCAACGTAAAGCGAAGATTCCACTACAACTCTAACTTAAACAACTAAAATTAACTTCTGTTACAAGTATACTAATTAGCCAGAAAGAAAAGGAATAATAAACAAAACATGTCATAATATGAAGATAGTGACATAAATGAAAGATTTTATTAGACAGTATAAATGTATACAAAACCAACATGGTAAAAAACTTTCCTTGTATGTATTATTTATTAGTAACACATCCAAACAAAAAAATATATTTTTTTGGGTCTGAAAGTCAGATCATGTTAACTATATGTTTTTGGGGTCGCTGAATCCAAATTCGAAAGTTAAAAAGCCCCAGCACGTCAGGGTTCTGAGTATATAGTAAACATGGTCTGACCTCCAGCCCCGAAAAAAAATTTTTTTTTTTGTGTAACTGTGTAATTTACTATACATCCACGAACACAAATGAAAAAAAAAACGTATTATATTACGTTAGGAGATCGATGAGATGAGCATCAAGCTTGCTGCAATCATGGTCTGGTTTAGGTAGTTATGTTGAAGAGTAGCAAATGATAAAAATCTATTTAGTACACTTTCCTAGTACAACTGGTTTTTATCAAGAAACGAGTTCCAGATAATAACACAATATTTAAGCAAAGAGTGAACAAGAAAAAAATAAAGAGAACGCAAGCATGCTATGCACTTAGAGGGCTTGACATTTCGTTTAATATAACCATGGACTTTTAATTCTCTACCAACAGTGCTGTCAATGTGATAATTATTTTGTCACCTTTACAAGTGTCGATTAAGTAATTTTTAGTCCGCACAAGCTCGTTGGTGATGCTTTTTATATTACACAGCTCGATAAAATTTTGAGACATTGAATAGTAATAAAATTTTTTTTTTTGACATTAATAGTCTTTGACGCACATTCCAATTATTTCCATATGTTTTCTTTAAAATTTTAGTGACAATTTGAATATTTGTAAAATTATTATCGATAGAATCTTAGCAATGTAAATCTTAGTTAAGTATCTTAACGTTATTTACTTTTTGTACTACTTGTGCAACTTTTTCTGTTATATCTGTATTAGCAATATTTAGCTTTTAGATTCAATGCTAAACTGAGAAGACATTAATTTTACAATGATTTTTTTGCAATTGTCGCCATTTTTCTTAACTTTTTCTCAACAATACGACAAAAAATCACAAATTGTATATAGTTAAAAACATTACTATTTCTCGAATTATTATATATTAAAATACATTATTAAGTTTGAACGTCCAATTTAATGATTGTGTAAATAGTTTTAGATTTGTATTGTACAACATGTTATAATTTGCTTATTTTCAATTTTTTTTTAATACAATTAAAAGTAAAATTAATTTTAAAACAATAACAAGTAGATAATAGGCAACTATAACATATTCTTATTAAATAGTCACGTGACTATAGTTTATTTAAATAACTATTTACTTAGATTTATGTACAGATTTATATGTATAAATATATAGAATGATAATAACAATACTTAAAATTACAAAATTGATAAACAATGTATAAGAGTAATATTCTGCAAATAGTATAATTGAAAAAGGGATTTTAAAATTATACAATTTTTATACAAATTTAATGAAATAGATGATAATTTTATTCTGTGAACTACATTATTAGTTATTTTTCTTTTTTGTTTAGAGTAAACTGAATAATTGGTTCATTTGTTTTTGGTATAACTAACTTGGAAGGAATAGGTTTCCTAAAATTAAGTGTCACTATTAAACCTTGAATTATTGTATAATTTTAAGATCTAAATTAAATACGGTAGCACTGTGGGGTCGAGGCACAGTGTAGACGAGGTATAGATGATATCTGACAGTAATTAAAATCAATATCATAAGAAACGCTTCGATGCAAAACTATAGAGAGTGTTTAATTCTAAGAAATTGGTGGATGATTACAAAAGCAACATCAACTCTTATTTCTTTAATTATATCCTGATTAGTAGTTCTTTGATTTTAAAATATAATACATGAATAAATACTAATTATAGTTATTAAATTTAGTATGAAAGTGTATTCAATAATTTAATATTGTAATTTATACGGAGAAATTATAAAAATAATATAGAAGTTATATTTTGCTTTACTTTTACGTGTATAAAAATTTAATGGGCATGATAAAATACTTTTTAATAAAAACTGTTTGTTACTATAAATAAATGCACTGGACTACATGAACTTTTATCAGAAGCAAAAATATACTTTTCTAAATCAAATTTTCGCGTTGTTTTCAAATTTGCAACTAGACTTTTTCTATCACTTCTAATTTTTTATATTATTACTAATTACATATAAAATAATAATTAAAAGAAGAAAAAAATTGTTTTCAAATTATTACTGATTTTGATTTTTAATATGTTAAAAATAATCAGTCCAAATTTTCATTTTTAACCTATTATTTTGGTTCTTTAAATTTCATGAAAAATTTTTGATAAAGTTTTGTGAAAGTTTATAGTAAAAAAAATTGAATATGCAACCATAACTTTTAGCTCAATTACAAGTTTGAAATTGACATCATTTAATAG